TAGGGAATTTCCAGGCTGATGGTAAAGGGAAGTCACAGAGTGACAATTGTGAAGCAAGCCAAAAGATCAATAATTTCAGATTGCAACAGGAAGACAAAGGGCTCCAAGAGGGATAATTCCAAGAAAAAACATAGAACTGATGGATTGATTACCTGGTGTGTTTGATCATATGAAGCAATCTTTGTCACTCTAGTAGAAATGTGTGAGGTTATATTCATAAAAGATACATAGAAATCTAAATAATTTTTTTTTTTTAAAGATGACCGGTAAGGGGATCTCAACCCTTGACTTGGTGTTGTCAGCACCACACTCTCCCAAGTGAGCTAACCGGCCATCCCTACATGGGATCCGAACCCATGGCCTTGGTGTTATCAGCACCGCACTCTCCCGAGTGAGCCACGGGCCGGCCCTAAGTAAATTTTTTTAAAAGTTTGGTTTTTGGTTTTTTGTTTGTTTTTTATTTTTCTTTCTTTTTTTTTTTTTTTAAATAAAATGAGACAATTTAACTCTGCAAAAAATTATATAGGAAAGGAAAGATAGTTTTAGTACACCATAGTTAAAATAATGTGAATGCTGAATATTTATTTATTTTAAAATTGAACTACAAAAAAAATTAAACTATAATTCTATTGGGAGAATAAGGGAAGATCTAGTATGGGAAGGAGTGTTGGTAGAAGGGAAACATAAGAGCTACATCTTCTATTGTAGGATGTCAATAGGAATTTAAAAATCAGGGAGAAATAGATTATCTGTGTTGATCAAAATATGGAAATAAATATTAGGAACAAAAAACAGCTACAAGAGGGCTGGCCCGTGGTTCACTTGGGAGAGCGTGGTGCTGACAACACCAAGTCAAGAGTAAAGATCCCCTTACTGGTCATCTTTAAAAAAAAACAAAACAAAACAGCTACAAGAGTAGTTGCCTTTGGGGAGTGGAAATCAGAGGTGGTGAGGGCAGGGAAGACTGCTTTTTTGTTGTTGTTACCTTGTTATATACCTAGTTGACATTTTTTTTTTAAAGACCAATCAAGTGCAGTAGTGAGCAGGTGAGGAAGGGTAGAACAAGGAGTTCGATCTGTAACTGAACTATCAACTGCGATAACCCATTACCTTTGGGCCAGCCCCTAGTTGATTCTTTTTTTTTTTTTTGTCTTTTGTCTTTTTCCGTGTCCGGCAACGGATCGCAACCCTCAGTGTTGCCCCCGTACCGGACCAGGGACCGGCAACGGGATTGCAAACCTCGGCGTTGCTCCCGCGCCTCGCTCAGCCAGTGAGCGGGAGCCGGTCCGTATGTGGGATCCGAACCCTCGGGCGGGAGCGCCACCGCGCTTCCCAAGCGGCGCACTACCCAGTGCGCCACCGGGCCGGCCCTTGATTCTTTAAAAACTATATTACATGCATTATTTTGATAAAAATGCTTTCAGAAAAATAAAGGAAATAAAAAATTGAATGTCCCTAGGGTAGCATTTGTTACCCTGGTGAATTCATCACCATCCTGGGTTCAGACATTAACTCAGAAACCAGAGCTGTTAGCCCTAAAAGCAGCAGCATTTCTACAGAACAGACATATTAACCGGGCTCATGAGACTGATATTTCAAATCACATGCCAATTCATTAATTTCTAAGGGAAGCAGGCCTTTGAAGCAGACTGGATCTTCTTGTTCGTTGATGAGTGCATTCTCTCCCTGTGGGCGGATCTACATGGGGAATGAAATGTTTTCAGAGGGTTGCTTGGTAATCCAGAGCATGAGCAAGGTGGGGGGTGAATTGGGTGGCTTCAAAGATTGATGCCTCTTTCTCCCCTGTTCCTGAACCAGCATCTCTGTCCCCTGACAGTGCTAGAATGGACACTGCTAGTGAGTGCCTTGGCAACTCTCCTTGATTTCTGGCTTCCCTGGCTGCCTGGACCGTCCTGCCTGGCACCTTCTTTCTTCAGTTGCATTAATACCCTTAATCAGGTTATAGTTTAGACAGGGCCTGAGAATTATTGTCTCCATAAAATAAGTTGGCACATCTCTATGTTAAAGCATTAGAGGTTTGTGTTCAGTCAAGCAGGCAGTACATTTACTAAGCACCCATGACGTGCCAGTTCTAAGCCCTGGAGTTACAGCTGTGAACGAGACTGACACCTGTCCTTAATGAGCTTAGTTTGGAGAGAAAGATACACATGAAACAAACAATTAAAAGTATCCAAAGTAAAAGAGCAGGCTAACTCTCAGAAGGCAACTTAATTTCCTTGTTCCTACTTCTTGGGGGGGGCACCTCCTGGTTGCCCCCAGATATCATCTGCAACAGTGAAATCATGAGGAGGGACTGCTGAGTAGGTGCTCTAGTCTAGATAAAGAAGGCCCATTCTCTAAGTATTCCCAGCCTTCCCTGAATTCTATACCCCACATTCTTCCAATAAAATCATTTTCTGCTTAAATTTATCTAAGGCCAGTTTCTGTCATTTGTAGCCAAGAACCCCAACTGCTACAGCAACCATCTCAGACATATCTGGACTGGAGAACAAGTCACCAAAAGGCAGTCCAGCCCCCCTGCATCAGAGCTGCAACCAAACCAGGAACCTTTCTGATCTGTGTCTTCGGTTCAGCACAGAACAGGGCACACAGGCTGTCTCAATAAAATTTGGTTGGCTGAGTCACTCAGTAAATCAGTTCACAAACATCTGCCAGAATATCTCTGCTGTTTTGGGTGCTGAGATTACAAGGCAAGTAAGAGCTAGTTTTGCCTTCAAGGATGTCCCACATGCACCTTAGACCTAACATATCCAAACCAAGGGTGTCATCAGCCCTGCCTTCTCTCCCAACCCATACATCGACTCACACCTTGTGTCCCTTGCTCCAACCATACTGACCTGTGTGCACTTCTCGCTTCCATCTGCTGGAATGCCAACAGTGAGTAGTTTGGTGTTCTTAAACCACAAGGACGGGAGAGAAAGAAACAGCAGGCAATCAAGCTAGGGTGGCCAGACACCAGACCTTGATGCCAGGTGTAGGATCCTAGATGTATTGGCTGCTATTCCAAGTTACTTTCCTCGGGTCTAAATCTCAGACCGACCGCATAGTTTAGTTTTTCCTGTTTCATCCAAGGTAGTCTGCATAGATAGGGGTTATACGTCCATCATCTTGGCCAGAGTTGCAGGGCGAAGATTAAAACGACTTGGCCCCACAGCTAGCAAGTGGCAAAGCAAGGGCTTGAACGAAGTTTCATACTTCAAATCCTCATTCTCTTTCCTCTACCAGTACAGCTCTTACATGGTATTGGGGG